AGAAACTGCAAGCTTACCTTTCACTCGCGTCTTTCGCGTTTTATCGGCTAATCGGCTCCAAACACTTTCCCGAATATTTCTTTAATTTTGTACGATTTTAGGTAATTATTCACCAGAAGATAGATTTAAAGCGTTCGAGTACATACAGATGTCCCTTTTATTGAGAGTCCGAGGCTTTTATTTTTTGAATAAACGAGAAAAAAACTCTCACAAGATTGCTTAGATTGCTGAAATCGTAGCTTCACAGATAGTTGCGGACAGCAAAGGAAACGCTCTCATCGTGGAAAAAAAATCGTAAAAAATTGCTATTCTTTTTACTATTATCATTGTTATTTAAGCATTTTGCCGTTACTAAGCGTTGAAATTATTGACTCATTGGGCAGCTTGTCGTGTAGATAGTATTTCTTAAGGTTCAATTTCACGCCACACATAATCTGGACATTTAGACATAGCTGCCATTTGGCTGTTTACAAACTAAAGATGGAAGGTAAANGTTCTTTGAAAACCGAAGAAGTATATGCTTGTTGCTATTTCTGCCGTATGATCGATCTGACCGAACATTTTATAGTCAAACAAAAGTCAATTCTAAAACATCAAAAGTTATTGCTTCGAGATGTTACGCTTGGGGCTTGGGTATTAAAAAATCCCTTAATAGGCAAGGATCAGTCTGAATCAGAAGGAAAACAGCTTCAAGTCTTCCACTTAATAGAGAAACTGCAAGCTTACCTTTCACTCGCGTCTTTCGCGTTTTATCGGCTAATCGGCTCCAAACACTTTCCCGAATATTTCTTTAATTTTGTACGATTTTAGGTAATTATTCACCAGAAGATAGATTTAAAGCGTTCGAGTACATACAGATGTCCCTTTTATTGAGAGTCCGAGGCTTTTATTTTTTGAATAAACGAGAAAAAAACTCTCACAAGATTGCTTAGATTGCTGAAATCGTAGCTTCACAGATAGTTGCGGACAGCAAAGGAAACGCTCTCATCGTGGAAAAAAAATCGTAAAAAATTGCTATTCTTTTTACTATTATCATTGTTATTTAAGCATTTTGCCGTTACTAAGCGTTGAAATTATTGACTCATTGGGCAGCTTGTCGTGTAGATAGTATTTCTTAAGGTTCAATTTCACGCCACACATAATCTGGACATTTAGACATAGCTGCCATTTGGCTGTTTACAAACTAAAGATGGAAGGTAAAATAAAGTATTTCCTTTCCAACACTTTCTTAGGTTTAACAGACACTGTTAAGTCTAAAATTAACATTTAGGAACGAAAAATAGTGAATGATCATGACACAGAATGCTACAGTAAAAAAAATCAAAACGAAATATATGAAATGATCATTATAGCCCAGTTTATACATGAGGGTACATAAACGCATTCGATACAACTACTTTCGCAGTATTCAGCTGCTTTTTTTAAAAGAGAGCTCATGTATGGAACTTGAGTCAATGCAAATCATTTATGTTATATGACAATTGTGGCAAAGCCCGAAAGAGATTGCGCAAAGCACAGATGTAAGCTCATCGAATTTATGCAAGTTTAATAACACTTTCGATCGAGGTACCCGGTAAAATGATAAAAAACGATAGAAGGTTTACAATCCATATTAAATCTACAGTTCAAAAAATCTTGAGACATGTACAGGTAAGCAAACGATTGAAGGAGTACCTGTCTAAGAGTCCCTGTCGACTATTTTCCACTACAGTACAGTAGTTTGTTTACAGCACCAGCCTTAGCTTGGATATTTAGCTCGCCATACTACTCTATAGGCCGCCGCTGGAAGTAATCTTTAATACCTTAGAAATTGCTCTTCTCCAAAAATTTTTGTTAAATTTTTGAGACGGAGAAGCTCCAGTTGAATGAATATAGTATAATTTGTTTTTCTTAGAGTCAATGAAATGTCCTTCTTCACTTTCTGTTTTTGCTCTCTTCCACGGGTTGTTGTTCTCTCTGACTGTTAGCCATTGTGGATATCCCAGAGTACTCCGCGTTGAGTGAAGCAATAGTGAAACTGACCGGGGAGGGGATGGGAAAAATTGTAAATAACCCCCAAAGCGATTAAGTTAAGGTCGAAATCAACCAATTTAACTTCTGAAAACGCGTGGTAACCCCTACTTTTTATCTTACCAAATCAAAGTAATAAGCCTACTCAGCAAAACAATCAATTTTTGGTGCGGGGAAAATGTCGTTTACACTATTTTTAAGGCAATCGCGTGGAGAGGGGTTACTTGTAATAACTTCCCAGTTGTGCTGATATTTCAAACAAGGACCTGTAAAGAGCAGTTGTTATGTTATCATTTGTTGCTGATTTTGAAACCTTGTTACAATTATCATTGCATTTGTGCCAGTTCACGTGTACACCCTGAAATTTCGGGAAAAAAATAACTTTTTATCATTTTTCTTAAAAATGCTTATTCAACATTTTTCTCCATATTGAAGCGCAGTTATCTCTGAAAAATGCGTGGTTACCCCCAGTTTTCTTTTTGGATTTCAATAGCCCCTGATATGATCTACTTGTCTCACATAGTCATTATCTGGGAAAAAATACGTCCTATTATTGGGTAACCTGAGATCAGGCTCAATTTTCGTTTCGCTTTGTAATAACATTCCGGCGAGCAAGGCGAAACGAAAAGAGAGGCCCAATTTCAGCGGTAGCCGTTAGAGAGAATGTATGAGAACCGCTCAAATTGGGCCTGATCTCAGGTTAATTAGTGGGCACCGTCCTTAACTTGTATTACGCGAATTGCTTTTTAGGATTAACGTATGGGTTTTTGAATAAAATTTTCAAGAAATTAAGTTATTTATCTGTCATTGTTCATTCATAAAATTAGCTCAAAAAACGACCATGAGACTAAAGATCGTGAGATTTTTAGAAACATTCAGACGGGCCCTTTCTTGAATTAAAAATGAAGTGTTGTTTTTGTACATGTTCCGCATTGAATTGCTATTCGTTTTGTCATTCATCACTTGCCATTCAAGAATTTTGTAGTGTGTAGAATTCAAGGATTTCTGCAGTTTTGCAGTGTGCAATGTGCTGCTCTTTTTCCATAACTTGTGCCCTGAATACAGCTCAATACCGCTTGAATTTTGTGTTTGCGTTTGTTTTCATTTGTTTGTTTACGGCTTTATAGTCTCACTGAAAAAGTGAGCGTATCTAAAAAAATGAAAGAATTCTTCTCTATTCTAAAACGGACAGACTCGCCGGCTTTTCGAGCCCGAGCTTGTCTTAAAAATTTTTTGTAATAAAAAAAGTTTTAAGTTGCTGTATTAAAATTTATATTTGTAGTGAAAGATTGGATTATTGTTATTAGTAGCGAAAAAGGTTATCGTTTGCTTTCCTATGTCTGTCCTCAGAGAAAATATTATACACCTTACGGTCAAATTTTCTTTCAGATATTGTGAGGTATAAATCAAGGCTACACGTTACTGTTCGTCCGGGCCTGTTTAAAAAAAAAAGAAAAGAAAAAAAATGTAATGGGCTTACGGGAAGACAAAAGTCATTAAGTCGGCCTGATTTTTCTTCCTTTAAACGCAGAAACACCGACCCTAGAAATCGTAAGCTGTAAATCGCTGCTACTTAAGAGACCTACAATTTAACAATTTTTTCAATTCAGGTTTGTTTGTGGGATATTTTTCTTAATCATTTAGCCCCTCCCCCTAAAGGTGTCTGATGCGAAAGGCTCTTAGGGATGTGAATGTTTCTGTTTTTTTGGCTTAGAGTTCATGCTATTACTTTAATTTGATTATTTTACCATAAGTATAGGAACGGAGGCTTCGCTTTTAGCCCTGGCTAAATCTGTATATTACAGTATTCACGGTAAAGAACTGGGTTCGATCTTGTTACGTCAACGGATAAAAAAAGTATGCTGGAATTAGCGTCCACACGATTCCGGATTCATAGCGCATTCAAAAATTTCCATTCTAGAGAGCGGATTCAAAAAGTTGCCGATTCGTATCCCGGATTCACCGGATACGTGTAGACGGAAGCCGTATCCGGAAAGAAAAAAGTTGCGGATTCAAAAATATCCCGATACGTGTGGACGGGGCCTAAGAAAGCGCGCGGAAATGGTGGAGAGCGACTTCAGGTGCTCAATTTTTCGCAGCGCGCTGTATATGTCAGCTTGATCGACCCTGCGATTTTCGAAATTTTTGCAGTTTTTTGTAATATCCGCAAATTCGCTTCACTTAACAAGAAAAAAGAGCAGCGATTGCGATATATTGCATGCAGTCGAAAAATCCCAGATTTTGCCTGCAAACCTGGAAGCAAGTGGTCAAAGAAAGCAGAGGTGCACTCTATAAGCCTCTAGGGCGTGATTCTGAGGAAAAGAAAATGGTTGTAGGCTAAAGTATTCTCATAACGAAATCTATAGGCCAGGGTGTGAAGACTTACGCAGTGATGAGAAAAGATTGAGAAATAAAGCTTTGTTGCATTTTATTTTTTACGCAAAAAATTTTCAGTTGTAACTTCTAACGAACAACGTTTTGGCTCTTTATGATGTTAGACCACTCCGGTAAAAACTGGTAATTAAATAATGTTAAATGGTGTAGGCTGTGAAGCATATCGGAAGAAGCAAAGCGAGAGCGGCCAGAGAATTGTTGTTTGCCGCTCACCCGTGCGTTCTTTCGCTGATCAACTCACTCGCTATGAAAAGCTTGCTCGCAGGCTAGTGAGATAAGCAATTCTTGTCAACGAAACACTTTAAAAAAGTGACTGAACGATACTTACCAAACAACTCGACCCTACATTACAACAGCTTACCAAAACCACATGTCATGTCTGTTGCCAACCATTTGTATCGCAGCTCTAGAGCTAGAAGAGCCTTTGCGCGCGCAAATGAAACTTAACATGGTTAGCTGTTTATGACATCATTAAAAACGTCACCTTTGGAAAAAGAAAAAACTAAACTGAATCTAAACGGAAAGATTTTATAGAGTCAGTGATTTTTATCTAAAAAAGATTGTTTGGTGCATTTAAAGGATTCCGTCGACTAAGTATGGCACAGATGTATGTGTACAGCTACGAGCAGCTAGTAGCGATTGTAAATCAACAAAATGCTAAAATAGCCCAACAGGCTGCAGTGATTATCAACCTGCGATCAGAGCGACAGTGGCTGGAAGAGGATAATCAGACTCAGAGAGAGGGGTTGGAAAAATCTCAAAAGAACCTCAAGGATCTCGAAACATCGAGAAAGTTAAAAGAAAGTAAATTGAGAAAAGAGTTACAGCAGCTAAAGGAATCTCATGGAGACATCAAGTGGAGGCATAAGAACGCTGTTAGGGAATTAAACCATGAGAAAGGAAAAAACCTCAAGATGAAGGCTCACTGTACTTCACTGTTGGAGAAGCTTGATGAGAGCAACCAGGAACTTCGGCAGAAACAAAAAGAACTTGACCGAGCAAAACAGGAACTCGATTTGGGCTACACTCTGGGCGAGTGTATGTATCAACACCTTAGATATTATTACTGGGGGTACTTTGAACTGCTAAAGTACTTCCAGTGGTCCAGGCCATCGTCTGGAGGAGCGACCATCACAGAGCTCGACAGTAATGAAATAACATCAATAGAAGAAAATACGGTTGCAGTGCTGCCTCATAGTTATAGCCTAACACAGGAAGTCCTGGTGTCATCAAAACCATGTTCGAAAACAGTCATAGTACCTGTATTAGACGCCGACAAAATACCTGCACCTGTGAACATGGTGAAGGAAACGGAAACGGATTCCCCAACAACTCTGACAGCGCAGAATGTCATCCAGTCAGACAGAAGTAACAGCATCTGTCCCCAAACAGCTTACATCCCGAGCAATGCTCCCTCCCGAGACCTAAACCCAATCGAGTTCCTGCTCTTCAATAATAACACCACCAGTTGGTCTATCTGTCAAGTTCCTGGCGTGCCTCAAATATCAGCTCTCCACAGTGAAGTGCCTACAAGACCGAGCAACCACCTGCAGCTTGCTATTTCTGCACCTGAGTGCCTTAATACAGCAAACAAACTACCCGGAGCTGTTAAAGGAGTTGGCCCAGCACCTCGGATACCAAAGATTGAACGTTTAATCCCTACCATGGTAACCAAATCAGAGGGTGTTAACATCACCTCTGGCGAGACTGACACGTTTAAATCTTCGTCGAAGGAAAGTAAAGAGGAACACGAGATTAGAAGTGACGAACCAAAAGATGGACATTGCCACTCGACCACTGTTACTTCCGAGCATTGGTTCCCCCTCGCGAACAACGGCCGTGAACTTGTAGACTTTGATGGTGAAAAGCAAGTTTCAACTCGTAAACGAACTGGAGTGAAAAAAACACAGTCTTTGGTGAGTTGGCTAAAAAATTCACAGATACTCTACAAAATTTAACTGGCCTAAAAGGGTTTTAGTAGATCAAGTTTTATGAAGATCGTGGAAGAGGGTCTCAATGGGGTGGTAGCTTTTACGGTTATCGGCTAAAATTTTGGCTATTTTACGGCTATCGCTTATTTTTTTTCAGTTACGGTTAACAAAAAACTTAAAAATTAACTTCTTTTGTTTCAAAAAGTTATATATTAATTAACCTGTATTTTTTGTATCTTTAAATCGAAAGAGGGTCTTGAGATCATCTCGGGATGAAACAAACTATTCTTTTGAAAATTTTTAACATTTGGTAGATCATACTTTTTATGAAGTATTTCACTTCTAACATTATTTTATAAATAGAAATGTCAATAGTCAATTTAAAAATAATCTTTGTGAAAAAGCAAAAGCGAACACGCAAACGCCCAACTCAAGGCCGGGGCGCGACATTCATTATAACAGAAATGGCTAGAGACGGATTACTCGTGTGAGACGGGTTATCCGTTTGATGATTCGCGTCCGTGAGATAGGTAATACTTCGTAATTTGAAAATGGAATAGTTTTAATTTTGAATGAACTTTATCCGTCAATTTCGACGGACAGTTTCAAGACGGGATTATCCGTTCCAGATAGCCTGTGTACAGTCGCCCCCTCCCCTCAGAAAAAATCGGAGAATGGGTGTCTGTGGGAAGGGCGCTACTGTGCACAGGCTAGTCTCAGACGGATAATCCATCTCTAGCTTTAGCGTGAAAACGGATAACAAAATTCCCGTGTCCAGTGTTTTTAATGATAGCGAAGGACTATACGGAACGACTGTCTGCCGTTGCCTTGTCCGTAGGCCTCATTATTCCGCGCGGCTAATGCCTTTCGGTTCACGTGGTCGTAGCGAGTTCGCCACCGAAATGCCTTGACCGAGATTACGTGGGAAGACGCCGTACAGGGAAGGCAATGTCTACCGTGGCGTCAGAGAAAAACAGGGATATGTTGTTTATCGGCAACGTGTTTTGCAAACAGTGACATCTCTGCGTGTTGTTTTATTAATGTTTTGTGGGCACCACCTCCTGAAAATCGCAAATATTAATCCCCAGAAAGAAGCCACACTTTCGCTATGGAAAAAATTAGTTCCCCGAGAGAGTGGACGAAATGGAGCCTAGGTCTTGGTCAACACCTAAAAGGCGCTTCATCTAACGTACGTACGTAGTCACAATAGCCGGGAAATAAAAAACGCAACCATAAGTGAGTTTTGTACCTCCCTTAAAAATGGCAAATCTAGGGAACAGTTTCTTTTACGGTTAACTCGTTTTTACTCTATTTACGGCTAACGGTTAAAATTTTTTACTTTTTACGGCTATCGACTAAATTTTTGGCCGTTTTACGGCTATTGGTTAACCCCATTGAGATCCTCCTGGAAGGGTCGAGAACTATGTATGCACTAATAAGTAAGTGCGTGATTGACGCTGGGGTTAGGGTGACGTTTAACATGATTTTGTTAACCTTTCTAAGAGCGTCGCAAAACAACATGGTCCGTATTTACCATAAGCAACTGTTTTTAAACCCAAATTCTAACTTGCTCGTGTAAGTGGGGCTTCGTTCTCGGTAGAGGCGACATTTTGTGCGCATGCTCTCTTATGTTTATCTTACTGTTTTCATGTCATGGTCGCTCCGCCGCTTTAAAAAAGAGTTCATGACTAAAAACGGCAGGTTGTTGGAAATTAAAACGCTGTCAGTTTCTCGGACCAAAAAAACTTAAAAAGTATCTTATCAGTGTGGGTAAATCTTCGTCGTTTTTGAAGACAGCGGTTTAATTAACTGGGTATTTTAGTACTAAACAATCTCCTTTGGTTTTTATACTTTATCTTTGCAGAAAGAAAGAGTGAACAGATTTATCTCCTGGCTACGACACCATTCTTGCCGCAGACCTAAAACAGAAGACTGAATACCTATATTATTTTTATTTTTTATCTATATTTTATTTATGTTTTATCGAATTTTGTGATTGACTGCGAAGTTTTTCAGAACAACAACAGCAACAACAACAAGTACTAAAACGGCCAAGAAATAGATTAAAAACAAAACAAAACACTGACAAATGAAAAAAATAATAAAATTTTAAAAATAATTTGAAATGCGAGAAAAACAACATAAAAGACAAAAAACAAAAAAAAAAGAAAGTAATAATAGAATTGAAGATAATATCCTCTCTTGAATTGAAAAAATACTTTAAAAAGTTTTTTTGTTTATTTGGCATTTTTTTAATTTTCACAAATATTGTTCTACACTCACAAAGATCTCTGACAAAATAACAGTCGAATTATAAGAAACTGTCCAACTGTTACTTCAACTGGGTCCGATCATGCTTAGCAGGCCTCATGGACAATGAGACCCGGACCCTGCAGCTGATGTGATGGAGAAGATGTACAGACGGTTGCTGTTATCATAGACCAGTGAGTACAATTGTGAAAAACAATTCCGATAAACCTTACCCCCGACCGTCAGGTGTCGGAACTTGCTCTTCACAACTATGCAACATTCAAATAGACACATTGAATTCTGCAAAGCTGATCGTACTACGTGAAAATTAGCTTTGCAAGACCTCAACACGACATCGTGTTGATGTATTGCAAAGTTAATTTTCACGTAGTACGGTCAGCTTTGCAGAATTCAATGTTTCTACTTTGTATGTTTTTGCAGATCAGGTCTTCTATAGATCCTACGTTCTGCGGCATATATAAGGGGCACGTGAGAGGATCGAAAAAAAGAAAAATACACGGTTATAAGAACTTCAGTCGACTAAATGTAGCCTGCATGGCAGGCGGGTGGCAGGCGTTGGAAAGGGGAGGGGAGACAGGATTTCTCAGGGTAAATTTTATTGGAAATCTTGATTAAGGGAAAGGAATTTGGTTCGAGAAAGCGGGAAGTTCGAGTTATTCGAGTTCGAGTTACCGTTGAAATAAAAGTGATTTCTCGAGGTTCCGCATATCCCGCGATTCCGCGTTCTGTGGTTCCCAAGCTTCTTGGCTCCTTGCCTTAGCATGCCTTAAGGCACGTATCCCATCATACCTACAGGGCGGTGTCAACATGCTTGCTGCAGGAGAGGCTTCTAAGCAATCAAGTCATCGTTCCCAAGACAGATTTAGACTCCAATCTTACTAGCTGTTCCTCTTTCCGGTTAAATTTTCCTGAACCCATGCTTTGTTCTACGATGAAAAATGTCACTGAGACCTCGCATTGTGAATTTTGACGAAACATGGGCTAAGATCCTGGAAACATTGCAATCTGTAGTGACGCTGAAGAAGATTGCCCGAGCAGTGTGGAACGACAGATTCTCGTATCCTTGTACTTTCTTTCCTTTTCTATAACTTATGTCTCGTTGACGCCCGTAATAAGGGGTGCACACACTGATTAAGCGTTAGAGTTTTATCAGGAGAAAACGTTTCTAAGCTATGGAGAAACCATGAAGTTTCACAAGTGTTGCAAGTTGGTTTGAATAACACGTATTGATTTATAAAACTGATCATAATTAGCTTAGTATCTTTACGTACCGGAATTTGTTGTTGTAAAAAAGAACTGCTGACTATGGTTAAAAATTTCATTACCAATCTCAACTGGAGAATGTTCTCATTATGGAGAAATATTAGAAAGCAAAATTGGTGATTAACACATTTATCAGTTTTCATCATTCTCATTCAGTTTTTGGGTTTTAAGGGTACCTTATTTTATTAACCCGGAAAAAACGATAACTATAATGTGTGATGAATTTGCCTTTTGTAATGTTATTTATGTGAATTGATTGCGTTAAGTTTTTCATTAATTTATTTTTTGATGATGGAGGTGACATGTCTGTTACAGTTTCATTTCTTTCAATGTTTGACATGTACAAGCAAAAATTTATGAACACCACAGAAAAAGCAATATAAAATCAGAGAAGTTTCAAAGGTTGAGAGAAATTTATATGGTGGGGCCACAACATGCCCCCATAATACAAATGTGGGTAAAATTTTTGTGACTCTGTGGAGCTCTATCTTAACTCATTTCCGACATTATATTGCCCTCAAGTGATGCAAGGTATCTAATGTTAAGGTCTCTTTTAATTATTTCCTGGATGCTGACTAATTGATCCTGATGTTAAAAGTTGAAAAAAACCATCAGTAAGGGTCTATTGTTTGAATTTACATCTTATTATAGACTTAACTGATTTATATTTGAAAGTGTGTGTTTAATTGTTTAGAATATAACTGAAGGTTCACAGGGATTCAAAGCCAAAATCAGATATGGAAATCAGAAAGAAGAAATCAGAAGTCAGAAATCAGATTTTAGAAATCAGAAAACAGTACTAAAACAGAGAACCTGGGTGGATGTTCTGATATCAGGTTTCTAAGTTCAGATTTCTTATTCTGATCTCTGATTTCTAGAACCTGATTTTTTCATTTTGATTTCAGTTTCTTGATATCTACACTGTACTTGTAATTTTTAAAATCTGATTCTGATTTCTGATTTCTTTTTCTTCGAAAATCAGGGATCAATTCCCTTCAATTTTAAGTGTTCTTATCCCTGAAATCTGGAAAAAGTGCTTCCCAATTGTTGTCGCTATTGTCTCCATTTAGTGAAGGCATTGTCCATGTACAGTGTAGACACGTAGGTTCTAAGTCTGTTAGTAGGAAAACTTTGATAGAAAACCCAATACCGGCTATTATTATTATTATTATTATTATTATTATTATTGTTGTTGTTGTTGTTGCATTTTCCTTAACATTTTGAAAGTGATGTTTATGCTCTGTGTGTGGCATTTCCAGAGGCGTTAGGTGAAAAACTTTATGCTGAAGTGAAGAACTTCTTGGAAAACCATGTTCAAAGTCTATATGAGGTAGATATGAAACGGTACAATACATACAGTATATTTATTTATCCCAGGCCAAAAGCGAAGCTCTCTCTCTTTTGTAATGTTGGTTTTAATTCTGCAAAACAAACTAATTTGAACAGGACAGGGAAGGCAATCCTTTTATCTGTTTATTTGCCAAGTGTGTAGTCAAGATAGTTGAATATTACCTGGTTCATTTTGTTTTTCATCTTGTATTGACCAAGATAAAAGAATCGTAAAATAAAAAGGTGAGGCTGGCCAATATTGAGCCATCCTGAAAGAACACTGCTTTTATCCTAGTTACCCAAACTAGAAAACTTTTTACCCTGAGCAAATTGGGAAATCTCAATCAGGCAAGCTAGGCCTATTTTGTTTGCTCAAGTAGTCAACGAGACACAGGACTGACTTTATCTTACCTACTCCATATTATACTCCTTAGTACCCTAAGGTCCAAAAATCAGGATTCCTATATGCAGGTGCTTACATTGTAGAGTAAGAAAGAAAAATACTCAGAAGCTTTCTTATCCATGCAGGCTATCAGTGTCCCTGATGTGGACATACTACGACTTTACCACAGTCACTGGATGCAATTCAGTAAAGGTTCCTTCTATATGAACCTGCTATTTGGGTGAGTTACGTGTAGTAAATAGGTTATTATGACATATCATGAAGAAAATGATTGCCAAATAAGTAATGGTAACAGGACTGAGTAGAGTTCAATTCGGTCTGTAATCAAACGAGTGATTAACAAAATCGGACGACTATGTAGCGGGAGTCTGATTTGTTTGATCACGAGTATGATTACAGACCGAATTGGATGACACAAAGTTCTGTTAGCAATTAATCATAACTTCAACAAAAATTGTGATATAATAGGCTATTTTTTATATCAAAACACAAGAAATTCGACATTTTGTTTTGCTAGCTTAAAAAAAAAGCCATTTAAGCGTGCGCTTGATGGCGTGTACTGTCGTATTACTTAGGGATGACGCGTACTGTCCTATTAAACTGTCCAATTAAGGCTGAAATCAGGGCAGTTGATAGCCAATCGGATTTGACGATTTTGTTATAGTTATGATTACAATATTTACTGTACCTTTTAAAAATCTAAACCCTTCCAAGGCTGTACTCTAATGGCGCCCAGTCACCTGAGGCAACTAACATTTAAGTTCGGGTAAGTGAAAAAAATTCGCAGTCACCTGGCTATGCACTCTGGCTTTTAGTACAGTGTTCAGTTAAGTAGGCAGGAAAATTTAACATACTGGTGTTGGCTTGTTGTTAAACTCCACAGAAAATGTTTTTTGTACGAAACAAACGGGTACGTTTCAATGTTCAAAGGTCATTCTGAATGATTTCACATGTAACATAACCCATCACTTCAAGCGTGACAAGTGGCATGGATTTCGATAGGCCCTTTGCAGCTGGGGTCACGTGATCAAATGTTTCCTTAAAAAATGTATATTATGGGGTATAACTTAAAGAATGCCAGAGATGGAAAGAGATATCAAAAATTCCAAAATGGCCAAGTTGGGGCCCCTGGGATTACAGAGTACCGTTTATACAGCATTTTGAACTTTTGTAAAATTAAGAGGATTTGTATGGGAAATGTTGCTGGAGAGCAAGGCCGTGCTCTCCAACAACTTTTTCCATACAAATCTTCTAATTTTTTAAAAAAATCAGACTCTCATAAAATCTCATTATTGAATGATGGGGGCCTCAAACTTGGCCATTTTGATATTTTCGACATGCTTTTTCCATCTCTGAAATTTGCTAAGTTATGGCCCATAATTTTATGAAAAGTATGTCACATGATGGCTTAGCTGCAAAGGGCCTATTTGTATCGCTTCACAAAATAGTTTTTAAGTTTTGCCTTTGAGATAGAATGTTTTCAACTTGGAGAGTTTTTTCAATTTCCGTTAAACAGTGAAAACCGGTTGGATCCACATCTGCCTCGTGACATACAATAGCCCCTTTAAGTGCTATAAAGTAAGAAAACTTAACAGCTAACTTATAGACCTTCTGCATAAGTTGACCCTGAGACCAATTATTAAAAAGAAAATTTTTGTCTAGAGCTATAA